AGGACGCTGCCCTCTGACTAGAGAGACAGCGCCAAGGCCTGCAAGCTGAGTCTTTCTTTTATAGCCAGATTCCACGAGGCCAAGTAAGGGCGTGGTCAAGGTGTTTGCAACGTTCTCGCGGGTTTCGAATCTACTCAATTACATACACCTGGTCAAGCTTTGTTTACTTGCTGCGGCTCCCACAGCCCATATCACTCAGCCATCTGGGAGCCGCTCTCTGCACTTATCTTTCTCTGTTTCACCTGCCCTGGGCCCGTGGGCCTGCCCTGCCTCCTGACTGTCCAGGTAAAGGGTATTTTACCTGCGAGGCCCCAAATCGTTTTTGGATCCTGGTCCTGGTCAGGCTTTTGGGAAGCCATCTACTGATTTGTGGCCAACAGGACTCTGTGGCTTGAGCACATGGAGAGCTGGTTTGACCCACTTCTCTCTGCTACTTTCTATTTACCTGTAACATTTAAAAAAATGTTTTATTTTTATTGATTTCAGAGAGGAAGGGAGGAGAGAGAGAAACATTAATGATGAGAGAGAATCATTAATTGGCTGCCTCCTGCTCCCACCCCTCCGACCCCCTCCCTCGCCCCCCGACACACACACACAGGGGAGGGAGCTGGCAACCCAGGTATGTGCCCTGACTGGGAATCAAACCATGACCTCCTGGTTCACAGGTTGACGCTCACCACGGAGCCATGCCGGCTGGGCTACCTGTAGCATTCTTGACTGGCTGGTTCATGGCTGGCTCTGTCTTTGGGTAAACCTTTCATTCATCTCCTGCTTTCTTTGCTCGGCATCCAGGCCTAGTCCTCTAAGCGCTTACCTCTCAGCACCAGCGTTCACTTCTGAAACCTATGAGGATTGATTCTGCTTCATCCGTAGCCAGATAGAGACCCCCATCTCCTCCGGCCTGTGGGACTGTTTTAAAAAGAAGGATTTATGGTTAATTCTATCTCTCATTTACCTTTTGTAATATCTATGGGCCCCAAGATATATTTTACCCTATTTAACTCCTACAAAAACCCTACTTAATACATAGCATCCCCATTTTATAGAATTGAAAATTGGTACATAGAAAGATGATGTAGCTTGCCCCAGACCACTCAGCTTTGGGATGAAATTCAACGGTGGGCAATTGAATCCAAGGCCTGTGCTCTTAGGGGGATGTGAAACCCAGCAATTATCACGGGGTCGGGAGCGAGGACGCAAGAAAAATGAGGCAGAGACATAAAGCGAAGCCGGGAATCAGATGGAAAGTATATTACTATTATTAGTGCTTATATATTATATATATTATTAGTTAATATATGTCATATTGCTTCATAATATATTATTACCCCATAGCAAGAAAGTCCTGCACATGTGCTACTGGTGGGCCCCAAATTTGGCTCCCAGCTTCTGGCAGCCAAACGCAGCGCGACCTCATCTGTATTTCAGCTCCCTTGCTGAGCAGAGGGCTGACAGCTCATGGTGTCACTATGATCAAACACACACCACCAGCAACACCCACCTCCCCGAATTCCTTCTCTCCAGTGGCTTATCATACGTGTTTTCCCTCATATCGAGGAGCCCAGCACTCCCAGACGCCTGTTGCTGCAGGTTGGCAACATTACTTTGCACTTCGTAGGAAAAATGAAGAAAAGGGATAAATCTTTCTCTCCTTGCATAATGATTCTGTATTGACATTACATTGTAAATTCTGAGAAAGCTGCAACGTTGAGACGTGTATATCTAATGGTGCCCAGTCAAGTGTGATGCTAACTTCAAGCGATGAATCAATAGCGATGGTGTGGAACAAATATGAATATTGACGAACGCTGAAGATGGGTCCCCCGGCACCTGCTTGTTGTAAGAGGGAGGATCCATTTCTGGAGAAGATTGCCGAAGATTCAGTGGTTCTAGAGGTTGTGCAGTAGGAGGGGCATACGAGTCAGACCTCAGAGGCTCTACCACTGAATAGCTGTGTGACCTTAAGGAAGTCCCTTAACCTCTCTGAGCCTCAAGCTAGAGAAATCGAACACTCCTATCATGTAGGATTAAGAGGCCTAAAAGAGGATTTCCCATGCTTGGAGTATGATAGGTGGTTCCCAACATTTGTTGGTTCGTTCGTTCATTCATTCATTCATTCATTCATAGCACTGTTACTGGGCGTGTGCTGTGGGCCTGGCACTCACCTCTGTAAACAGGACAGGCCGGCACCCGGTAGACTCCTCTCCCCGCCTCTTCCTTCCTGAGGACGGCAGTTCCCGCTGCGGCTATTTAATAATAGAGGCTCTCCAAGTCCAAGTTGCTAAGGGGAGATGGGGCCCAGCAGGGGACTCTGGGGTGCAAGGACCCTGTATAATGCCTCCTCCATCTGGTCTGTGTCCCAGCCGACCCCAGGGCCCCATCAGACACTGTTAGAGGCCCTTCCCTAACCACACTCTTGGCAGGAGCTCACCAGGGCCACAGGGTCTCTGCTGAAAAACCATCCCACCTTTCCACTGCACCCAGTGCTTCGTTTAAAAGAGAAGCGGAGGATGGTTTAATGTCAGTAACATTCGTCAAATGGCCCATGGCCCCTGCGCTCACAAACCAACCCTCCCTGCAATGGGAAACAATGCACTAATTACACACAGGCCTCAGCAATGGTGCCTGCTCCTTCCGGCTCTTCAGGCTGTTGTGTTTGCATTTTTCTCACCCTCAGGGGCAGCATTTGCATCTGTCCTGTCTCTTAGGAAACGTGTGTGTGTGTGTGTGTGTGTGAGAGAGAGAGAGAGAAAGCACCATAAACTCAGAGGCTGTGGAGTGAGGGTGAGAATTTTCTCTTTGAATCTACGATAATTCTACAACTCCAGGACGCACTTGTTAATGTAAAAAACCATTGAAACCTGTAAAGAATTTTGTGAGTTTATTTGAGCCAAACTGTCGACATATGCCGGGAAGCAGAACCTCAACGAATTGAGATAGTGCTCCGAGGAATGGTGGGGTTATAATTGTATTTATACATTGCAATCAAAGGAGGGACATAGGTGGGTTACATGAAATTCATTGGTGACAGATTTAAGGAGGTGGGATTAAGCGAAGCGAGGAAACCTCTAGGATAGGATAAAAAGTAAAATGATGGACACATACCTAGGTGGGTGTAGGATCAATTAACATGATAATGAAGGAATTTGTAGTATCTGCCCTGGCGCCCAGAACATTTGGTTGTGCCCCAGGGGCTCTAGAAAAAGGGAAGTTCCAAGTGACCCAGACATTTCAAAGGGAATGTTATCTTAGAGGCAAAAAGGCAAATGGGCTCAGTAAGGATCAAAGTTGATCTTGTCAGTGAAGATACTGGCCTAGGACATAACTGCCCACCATCACTGCTTTTAGTTAAAGTGTAATTTCAGCCCATCCTTTGTGGTTATTTTAGGTCTCTGAGTCTGCTAGGCTGCCACGCAGGCCTTCCCTGAGCTTGTCAGGTCAGCGTGTGGCCCCTTTCGTCTACACACTGTATCTATGAACAGTCACTTGTTTCCATGCGTTTGTCTTTGAGCCCCAGGCCCCATTCCTACAGCGTCACAGTCCATCTAAGACTGGCCACCAGGCCAGCAGGGTCTGCGTCTCCCTCATCCGGCTGGCGGCTCCGTGAAGGCGGCAGCTACCTCCGCCATCAGATCGGAGGCTCTCTGAGGGCAAGGGCTGCTCCTCCCCCTTCAGGAGTTTTCACTCCCAGTGCCAGGCACACAGCGGTGAGGCCAGAAACCAGTTCTGACCTCGTTATCATGAAGGGAGTGACCGGCAGTTCTGGCGGCTCAGCTGAGATGGCAGACGGGCAGGTTGTCCAGTTATCCTCACCCACGCCCTTCACCGGCCGAGGGTGGAAGTGTCACTCACACACTTTGGGATATGAGCAGGAAATATAGGAAAACGAACATCCTCAGGTCAGCCTAACTGCTTATCTTTTTAAACAAAAAATATTTTAATTTACATTAGAGAGGAAGGAAGAGGGAGCGAGAGATAGAAACATCAATGATGGGAGAGAATCATTGATTGAGCCCACAACCTGGGCATGTGCCCTGACCGGGAATCGAACCGTGACCTCCTGGTTCATAGGTGGACACTCAACCACTGAGCCATGCAGCCAGGGCCTAACTGCTTATCTTCTCCCTCTCGCTGTGCTGGATCTAAAGGCACCCATGGCCTGGCACCTTTCTCCTGACCCCTTTCATCCCCCAACTGGAAATAAAAGAAAAACAACAAAAATCCCTCCTGTGGCACGACTCAGACACTCCATTCCCAGAGTCCACTCACTGCAAGGCTGATGAGGGCGGATCACGTCTTTCTCATTCCCCCCCCCAAAAGTATATTTTTATTGATTTCAGAGAGGAAGGGAGAGGGGAGAGCGAGATAGAAACATCAATGATGAGAGAGAATCATTGATTGGCTGCCTCCTGCACTCCCCCTACTAGGGATCGAACCCGCAACCCCAGCATGTGCCCTTGACTGGGATTAAACCCGAGACCCTTCAGTCCACAGGCCGACGCTCTATCTGCTGAGCCAAACCAGCTAGGGCATCTCTCTCATTTTTAATTTTATTCCCGGGCACTTGCCACAGTGCCAGCCCATGGTAGATGCTTAATAAGTGTTATGTACTAATGAGTGAATGTCATTTTCAGGAAGGGCTAGGGTGGATCGCCTCATTCTTGGGAGGCCTTATTCACTCCTGGGAAAGTGCCACAACCCAAAGTGTCTGGCACTGTCACCCTTTTTGGAAGAAAAGCTATATTCTGGGGTCTTGGGGCTAGAGGGCAGTGTTCACCTATTGCTGCAAGCAGAGCAGCGTGTGTGTGTGTGTGTGTGTGTGTGTGTGTGTGTGTGTGTGATGACTGGACATTAATGAGCTCTGGCTCCAGAGAGAATTCTAGAAGTCCCTCAAAACAACTTAGCTCACCTCCCCGTGATATCCTGCTTCTTAAATATGCTGGGAAAAGTTCGTCTGCGTCTAGGCTGCTGAACAATCAAGTTCATTTGAAGAGTTACGGTATTTTTTAATCCAGTAAATTTTATTTATATATAACAACAGTACAAATCGCGTCCTTGGCTTGCAAAATAGGAGTGTTTCATATTTACAATAGGTACACAATAATATATTAGAATAACAAAAAAACCTATTTTATTGGAACATCTTAAATACTTCATTTTCTTCCAGTTTCATTTTTTTAATTTCGCAACACCTGTAAAAACAAGAAAACCAGACAACTATCGCTGCATTTTCTTAAAAATATAGCTATCACACAGATTCCAGTGTGTCAGGAAGAGTGGGTTTGGGGAGGAGAGGTTGTGGGCAGAGGCTGGGGCGGTGGGCTCAGGCCCCTAGTGTTGTGGTACAAGGAGCTGGTCCCTTCCTCCCAGACACACCTGAGGACATCTGCTCTGGATGGAGGGCACTAGTTTCCATTTTGCTCTCCACCTGCAATGCCAGGAAGGAGGGTAACAAGTCAGGGCCTGGACTGAAGCCCAGAGGACCTCCCACCTTCATTGAGGCTGGGACAGGGGGCAGGGTGAGCTGCGGAAAAGGTGGGGCCGGTCTGTAGGCGGAGCTTCTTTCAGGTGAGGAGGCCGGATGAGGGGGTCCAGGGAAGCCAGAGTCTCAGGTTGCCTTGCTGGGCTGCTGGGCTGTGTGACCAGCAGTTGGCTGATCTCTCCCAGGTCTTTCCTGAGTCCCAGATTGAAACTTGGTCTTTCCTAGGTGGCATCGTGTAGCCCAGTAGCTAAAACTTCACTCCCGGGGGAAACCAGGAGGAGGGAAGAGAGGAGGGAGGTTGGAGCGAGGGGGAGGATGCTGCCAGTTTCTCAGAGCTTGCTCCTGAGGCTCCCCAAGGCCCTGAACTCCATCCCCGAGTCTCGCTGTGGGATCCACTCCTACATGGACCCTGTGGCTGTGCGGCTGCTCGCGTTTTCTCGCCGTTAGAGCCCCTGGGCCTCCTGTCTGCAGCCAGGCCTCCCCCAGAGCAGCTGGCTCAGTGTTTACCGGCTGCAGGTTCACGGGGGCAGGTGTGGCACTAGGGAAGCGCCTGGAGATTTAGCGGACGAGGCTTTCAGGCTTTCTCTAGGTGTTCTGCCCGGGCCATGTGCAGTCTGTCACACCCATCCTTGCTTCTGCATGTGCAGCGGGGCCATTTCTTGTCCTCATTTGGTGGAAATGAAGCAAGTCCGGGGACTCGAGGAGCAGGGAACTGTCGCCACAAGAGACAGTGGTAATGGAAACGAGGGAGGCTCTATTGCCCACGTGATGTCCCCAGAATAAGGTAAGGCAGCTGGGTAGGTGGGCTTTTTTCTCTCCTCAGGCCTCCTTGCTTAGAAGACTCCTGCCCCCTGCGGGCGAGGAAGGAGAACTGCGCCTGCTAAGTTGGTGGCAAGAACCGGTAGCCTGGAGAATGTAAACTTGCTAGAAGGTCCTTCTGGGTCTTGTTTGTTGCTGTTTCTCAGCACACAGACCAATGCCTAGAGAATAGTTACAGGTCTGAAGGTTCCCTGATTGAATGAACAAATGAATGAAAAAAAAAACAGGTCCCGCCCTGTAGTGACCATTGACAGCTGATCCACGAGTTCAATGACCAAGCTCTGCAAAGAGGGGTGCTCTTAGCCAGTGGTGGATGGGAAATGGTCCTGAGGGGTGCGCTGTGGGGAGCAGGAGGGGGGATGGCAGAGCAGCAGTCGACACCAGGCTGAGGGTGGGAAGCAGCAGGCCCGCTGGAGTGACTGGCTCCACCATGATGGACATCTTGTCCATCTCCGTGTTGCCCAACACCTTTCCGGGGTCCTGATCCTTTTCCAGGGGATCGTCTCCTGTGCAGATCAATAAAACACAAGCCGGACTGCCTTTCCAGAGGCACCTCCTTCCTGGCCTCCCGCCAAGGTGGATGGCTTCATGTGGGGGAGAGGCCGTGCCTTTCATGCGTATTCTTCACTCAAGGTCACACCGTCTTCGAACTGGGTAACAGTGAGGAGGGAGGTCAACTGACGGCCTCTCCTCCCTGTTCCACAGGGTGGACTCCACTGGTTCTTGGTGATCCAAGGTCAAGAGCTGGTGGAGGAGGACTAGGTGAGCCGCCAGAGCGGGGGCAGGCTCTACAGCCACTTGCTTGAGTCCAACCGATGTTTCCTTTCCCTTAATTTCTTTCTCAGGGATGCCACTTCCCTTGCCAACCCAACTTCCGCAGCTCTCTCACGGAGTCCCGCGAAACGGGGCCAAGTGTCTTGCCAGCTTTGGCTCTTCTCTCTGCATCTGTGCTCCTGCTTTCTTCAGTCTACCCCCCACCCCCCATCATCCTCTACCCTCTCCAAAAACTTTCAAGGAAGCACCCCCGGGGACAGTGAGTGGCCACCAGAAGTAGCTGCTGGGAGATGCTCAGGTGGATGCCCAGAGGTAAGGGATGGTTAAGATGCAATGGAGATGTCTAAGTTGCTTTTGCTTCTTGGTGGAGCCAAGTCCTGGTGCCAGTTAGAGCAGTGGTGTGATCAGAAAGCCTGCAGGCAGAACTCAGAAGTAAAATGAGGCGAGCCCGAATTTTGTGTGTGTGTGTGTGTGTGTATGTGTGTGTGTGTGGGTAGCACAGAGTTCCTTCTCACATTCCTCTTGCCCGTATCTCCTCTCTTTTCATCTCCATAAATCATGGGCTCTGAGCTGATAAGCTTTGGGTGCTGTGAAGAGTAAACACTTTGGCTTAGTGCGGAAGGCCAGTCATTAGTATTTCTTTCAGGCTGTTAATAGAGCCCAGAGAAACTTTAACAGAAGAGGATTATCAGAAGAAAGTGGCCTTGGCATGGCTGGTCGGGAATTAGAATGAAAACAAGTTTCCTGAGTATTTCGCTGAATGCTTTTCTCTTCCCATTTGTCAGCTGCATTCAGGCAAGAAACCGGGGCTGGGAGCAGGCGATGTCTGCTGTGTGGTCAGCCCAGCAATCCAAAGCCACACGCCAGCGATGGGAGCCAGCCCTCCGGCCTCCCTCCCCCAGCCCTTTCCTGGGAATCCAGTGTGGTCAGCAGAGCCTCTGGAAATTGGAATTGTTTGGAGGTAAATCAGGGCACAGAGAAGCTGGGGCCCAGAGTTAATTACAGAGGAAATGACTCTGGGCTGGTCTCTCTGGGGATGGCTGGTCCCTTCCCAGCATTGCAGCCCCTTGACAAGGAGGTGGGAAGTGGAGGTTGGCCCGCTCCTGCCTCCCCGACTTCCCATCCCTCTGCCTCTCTCTTGTCCTCCTTCCCCCACACTTCGGTGCTGCTGCTTGTAGAGAAGTCGGAGCCGTCTGCTTGGATCCTTGCCAACGTGGGAGGCCCGGAAACCTGGATGGCTGTCCCGGTCACCGAGGTCTTGTCACCAACAGAGTCTCGGTGACTCCCACTGGCTCCCGAGAGTCCTCTGGACCAGGGCGTGGCATGTGGGTCACTCTGCTTGGAAACTGCACTCGGGAGAGCTGGTCATCATGGCTTTAGGTGCCAGCAGGAAAGGAGCCCAGCGAGAAACCGCCCACGTGTCCTTCCAACTCGTAAGGACAAGAGAGGCAGAAGTCATGCGGGGATCGACAGTCTTTTCTCCCCAGGAAGTGCGCCATCAGGAGCGTCCACATGTGAGCGAAGGGTTGTCTCCCCTCGCCAGGCACAAGGGAATGAAACAAACAAAGCAGAACAGGAAAGCCCGCGGCTTCTGTAACCGATGCTCTGCAGGTACTGCTTGCTGTAAACATGGTTGGATGCTTGACTCCTGTTTTCTCTCTAACTGTGAAAACCACCAGCGGGTTGGAATGGAATCCAAAGCCAAACACTCATGCCCCCACAAGGAACCTCCTGGAGGCCTGGCCCTGTGCCTCCAGGCCCTGTCCCCACGGTGCCTGGTTCAGGACAGTGACTGATGTGAAGGCGGAGCTGCGCATGTCCTCAGGGAGGCCAGTCGTCTGGTCTGAGAGAGGGCCCCCTCTCCCCCACTTCCGCTGGGAACTTTGGGGAAACCAAAGGGAAAGGTACCAAAGATCAGCTCCTCATTTGTTGAGGTTTGGGATTAAATAAAACACACACACACACAGAGACACACACACACACAACAAACAAACAAAAAAAACAGTAGCAAAAAGCATTGGTACTCTAGAGACACATCTCTCGAGAGATGAGAACATACAGGTGTGTGGTCTGTAAAGCTCAATTCCCCATCCGCCAGCTGAGCTGCTCCACGCTTTGCAGTTGGGCACAAAGTTCTGTAGTTCCCACGCTCTCCGGCTGCCGGGATAATTCCAGGTTTTACTGGCCTCTGGTTTTGCAAAGTGTTTGGTGCAGACTTGTGCTCATTCTTCTCCTCCTCCTTTTTTTTTTTTTTAATGCCAAGGGAAAAGAAGCAATTTCCCCTCCGATTTCTCTCAGCATCTCTGTAGGTGTGTTGTTTTTTTTTCCCTGGCATTTGGAGACAGGAGTTAGATAAGGAAGGAGGGCTGGGGACAAGAGAAGGAGGGGGGATAGAACCCAGAATTCAACAAAAGTTGGACGGGATTAACAGGGAAGCGTTTTGTTTTGTTTTATTTCTGGTTTTCCTTTTTCTTAAAAAAAATTAAATAAAGTTCTCATTATTTCCCCAATATACATCAAATGAGTTTTCATGCAAAGCAGCAGTCACAGAGGCGGAACCGTGTCCAGCTGGCGCCTCTCGGCTTGAAGAGCCGCCTCCTCCGCGGCCCTGCTCCTCTCCTGTGCGCCCTGGGGTGGACGACGCCCATGGTCTCTCCCTGCAGGATCCGCCCGGCCTGCGAGGAGACTTGGCTGGCGTGGCTCCCCTCTCCCCGGGATGGGGTCTCGGGGGACAGCAAGCTCTGGGGTCCGATCCCCTTCCCTTGTCCTTCCTTCCGAGACGCCCAGTGTCACAGCGTTCACGGGTCCCTCTGCCCAGGAACGGGAAGCTCCGTCTCTCAGCTCTCGATGGACATAGCATTTATGAGCTGTTCCACCTTGTAGGCCAGCCGCTGGCGCCGGGCCTGCTCGTCCTGCTCCAGCGCCCCGATGAGCTGAGGAACAAAGCAAAGGCGGGGAGACTTCAGGACTCAGGAGGGGAGACGCCATTTCCGAATCTTCCATCCTTCTATCTGCCTTTCCCTTCTGCCCTAATGAGCATAACCTTAAGTCACGTATATGCTTAACTGACTATGTATATATGCATTTATATATGTATGTGTGTATAGATGTATATATTATGTATGCATGTGTATATATGTATGTGTATATAGTATATGTTATGTATGCATAGATGTATATATATAGGGATGCTGGACAGCACAGGGATTAGGGGTGCTGACCTCCCAGATAGGAGATTCTTATATAATGACAGTCAACCCTTTGCATGGGTGATTCCCAAAGAATGTTTCATCTCCAAACAACGTGGGTTTGACCGGTGTGAGTTAGCGGAATTGTGGTCAAGTGAAAAAATCCACGTGCAAGTGGATTGTGCAATTCAAACCATGTTTAAGGGGCCGCCGCGTAGCTAAGGTGTTTGAAAGAACATCTGGCATACAGGAAGCGCTATGCAAGCGTTAGTTACTGTTATTATCATCGTTATCATTACTGACACCGCTTTCAGGCACAATGCTCATGTGTGACAGGTGAATTCCCCGAAGCTGTCCCGTGGAACTGCCACTCAGGGGAAGGTCCACCCGCGTCTCTGAAATGTAACTGGCGGGCTGTGCCCGAGTGCGCACTGATTCATTGTTTAAGGAAGAATGAAATTAATCACAGAACACTTTCCACTGGAAAACAACAACATTGCTAAAAGTGTTATTTATTGCGTGACGGCGAGTGAAAGACGAGGCGATGTGTAAGGAAGTGCTGGGTGAGTCGGGGAGGCGGGGCTGCCTTTGGAAGGATGGGGGTGATTTTGGAGCGCAGGGGTTTTTGCCTCCATGGATGTGTTTTCTAAATGACCCTCTGATGCTGCTATTTCAGGACGGGCACAGGCGTTTGTCTAAGCGCCTGGCTTGCTGGGTGTGGGTGTCTGTGCCCCGGGGCCCTGTCTTACCTCTTCGCTGTACTTGCTGACGTAGGAGTAGATCTCATTGAGGGCACTCAGCATGTGGAACTCCACAGCGTGCAGGCGGGACTGCTCGGCGAGGTAGGCGTTCATGTCCTGGTCGCTGATGGCGGGCAGCTTGGCGATGTCTGCATAGTATCTGCCAGGCAGAGGACAAGCTCCTTGAGGGGGGGCTCGCCCAGACCCGGAGCCCCTCGCGAACACAGGAGTCCCCATTTACTAGCGCCTTCTTATTTCTCTCCTGATGTGGCTTCCTCTGGCCTCTTGCCTCCAGCTGAGGCTCCCTAAGGCCAGGTTCCATCTATCTGTGAGCTCCTGGCTGCAGTGCCCCCCAGTGGTGAAAAGCCCAGACTCTGAGCAGAATCCTTATATTCAAATCTCAGCTCAGCTACCTGCTAGCTGTTTGACCTTGGGCAAGTGACTCGCCCTCTCTGTGCCTCAGTTTCCTTATCAGTAAAATGGGGATGATGATACTCCCACTTCACAACTCTGTCGGATATTTTAATGGGACGGTACAGACAAAATCTTTATCACAGTGCTAGGTGCTTAGCATGTGCTCAATAAATGGTAATTAGGATGATAACGACCTTGACCTGATTTCAAAGGCCACAAAGCTTCCCTTCCTCCCCCAGAGCAGGCAGTGTAGACAAGGGAAAGGATGGAGCAGGTATAAAGGTACCACACACAGTTGTGAGTGCTGGGTCAGTGAAAGCCACAGGGTGGGGCAGGAGCAGGCAGCGGGCAGGGGCTGTCCTCGGTGCCACTGACCTCTCCACCCAGCTCTTGTAGCTGGGGATGTCCTTGGCGTACAGCAGCTTGTTGGACGGGGAGTCCTTGCCCAGCCGGTGCTCAGACGTGGAGCACGAGTCCATGAAGGTCTGGGCCACCACGGAGAGGCAGGCGTCCGTGATGCTGCCTTTGTGGATGTCAAACACGAACTGGGGGTTCTTGATCACGTTCACCCAGAAGCGCAGAGGGAGGCTGGGGGAAGAGGCGGAGCAGACCCTGAGGGCTGCACCTCGGCTGGCCGCACCCCTGATGCTGGCCACTAATATTCCTCCCTGCCCCCCAAATTCAAGTTTTCTCTCCAAGGGGCAAGGAATGGAATGACAGAAAACTGGTCCAGCCAGGCCTGCAAATTCAGCTCAAGCTGCTCCGGATCCTGAGAGAAACGGAGAGACGCCTCTGCACCCTGATGGGGCTGACCCTGCTCTCTAACAGCTGGGGGTGGGCGAGGGGCGTTCTGTTCCTTCCTGGCAGCGGTTTCCAAGGGCCTCCGTGCCCCGGGGCAGCCCAAGTACAGAGAACAGCACAACTTTCTCAGGGCTGCAAACAAAGCCACCAGGCTCCCTGAGTCCCTTCACAGTGCCCATGGCCATTGTCCCTAAGGCGGCAGCCGGCAGCCCCAGGCACGGCCTCCGAAGGGCACAAAGGGCGCCACCTGTGCTCCCGCCCAGCCCAGGCCGCTTCCCAGGGCAGCCCCGGCTGGCTGCGTGGGCTGAGGAATGGGCTCCCCGGGGGCAGATCTTTCAGGACTCTCCCCAGGGCTTTCCTGTGTCTCGGGCAGGGGCACAGGGAGCAGAGGAGGCCATTGTTGGCGTGGAAAGGCCCCGCTGTAGCTCCGTTTTTCCCACCCCAAGAGGAACCCATCAGTCCTTAGGAGGGTCCCTTTGGCAAAGTGGGAATTCATCATCGGAGCAGAATGCATTTTCTCCGCTCCTCAGGCCAGGAGAAGGGTAAGCCCGTTTAGTCCCCTTCAAACCCAGAACAGCTGCTGTTTTTTCCTGCCTTTCCCAGCTCTGCCTTCTCCTCCAGCTGCCTCTGGGGCCTTAACTCTTTTGGCTCCTCTGTGGAGTGAGCTCTGTCCTCTGGCTTATCCCTCGGGCTCGAGGTGATGGTCCAGCCACCCAGCCTACCTCTCCTCTCCTGTTTTTCATCTTCTCTTGACTCCGATGGACCCCAAAATTTCCTGAATATCTTAGTCCTGTCAAGTCTTGGGAAAGATCTGCCTTGCCCACTCCAAGCCCTGCCTTTAGGTTTTCTGCTTATCTTCCAAAATAAATGGTAATTAGCCTGGCTGGTGTGGCTCAGTGGTTGAGCACTGGCCTATGAACCAAGAGGTCACGGTTCGATTCCCGGTCAGGGCACATGCCCAGGTTTCGGGCTCCATCCCCAGTAGGGGGTGTGCAGGAGGCAGCTGAGCAATGATTCTTTCTCATCATTGATGTTTCTATCTCTCTCTCCCCATCCTTTCCTCTCTCTGAAATCAATACAAACCTATTTAAAATAAAAAAATAAATGGTCATGAGGATGAGGATGACCTGGCTTCCCATAACCTGGGAGGAGCTGCCCCCACTGAGAGGTGACGCATCTCTTCCCCCCTCCCTCCAGCAGCCGTGGGGACCTCCTGACAGTCTTTCTTTGGGCATTGGCTGTTTGAGTCTGGGTAAGGGGACTCCCCACCACCACTGCAGGGGAGGCAATTTCTATGACTTGGGCCTGGCCTGCCACAGGAGGCACCAAGATGGGGAGAATCCAGACTTTTCTTTTGATTTCCCTGAATTTGCCTACTCCCCGCGCTGGACTGAGATCCTCCCACGCAAAGGAGACATCCATGGCCCTGCCCCTGGGGACACAGGCAAAGGGCCTGCCCCGGTGAAGTGCCCCGCGGGCTCCGCACCCACGAGCACGCGAGTCTCTCCACTTCACTCCCCTGTGATCAAAGGTGCAGGCTCTGAGGGGCCCAGCGGCCATGACACACCAGAGAAGGAAGGGACAGAAGAGACCGGAGTTGGGTATTTCCAACGTGTTTTGCTGGTTGCTAGGACTTTGGATTCCCAAATAACAGCCGGGGCCCATCTGTGTCGGCTCTGTTTTCTGACGAGATCGCTGACTCCAGACAGCTGTGTGGGCTGCTTGCCCAGCCCCATGCCTGGACCTCCCCTCTCTACTCTCTGTCTCTTTCCCGGAGGAAGGGTTTTGACTGACTCCGGGCCAGGCCCGATCGGACCTGAAAGCCAGCCCTTCGCTTGGCTTTTGGTTCAGGTTCAAACCCAGGGGAGGGAGGTCTCATGCCAGCGGCCTGTGGGAGCTGCCTCCCGCGCTGGGTCTGGCTGCGGAGTGACTTTCAGGGAAGAGAGGGCAAGCCTGCAGGACCTCTGCCCGCTGCTTGCTGACAGCCACGGGGTACAAACTTGGCCTTCCGGGACCAGGTTTGCAGGGACCTCCTCCTGATCCGCGGGCTCAAGTCCACAGCAGGTGTGCGCTCTCTCCGGAGTGTGCGCCACCTTCCTCGGGGCTCTGGGCCTAACTCAGGGCTCCCAGATCTCAGGAAGTGCCTTCGACTCTGTCCTACTCAGGGTGCCCGGCGCTGCCCGGGCTCTGAGGCTCTGCTGCTAGTTCTCAAATGAGGCGCTTTGCGTAGGTTCCCCCAGCTCCCTTTCCCTGAGAACAGACACCTCAGAGTCAGGGAGGAGGTGCTTCCCGGGGAAAGGTCTCCACCTGGAAGGGCAGAGCTCTCAAGTGTGCGTCCTGGCGCCGGGCCCCAAGCCAGGCAGGCCCCCCTCGGCGACAGCGGGGGACCACAGTGGCTCTGCAGAGCATATGTGCGCTATTTGTCCAAGGCGCCAGGGCTCACCAGCCACCACGAACAGGCTCCTCCATCTCCCTGGCCCCCTGGCCCCAGCCCCTCCCACACACAGCTCGCAGCCTCCCCAGGGCTCCCCAGGGGTTACCAGTTGCTTTTCCAGGTGTGCCGCACATCTGTGTCGTGGATGCTGTGTCTGTCCGCCTGCTCATCCAGGAAGTCAAACATGTACTTGATGGCCAGGGGGAGGGCGCTGCCCCGGTGCACAGTGCTGAACAGGGTCTCGAACAGGTCGTCCACGAACTTCTGCAGGGTGCCCTGTGGGAGGGGTGGGGGGAGAAGATGAGGTGAAGGGGAGGGGAGAGAAGGGGGACAGCAGGCAGCAGGCGGGCAGAGCAGATGGTGCCTTGGACCTATCCCGCCTTGGAAATTTGTCTGCGACTCCAGCCTGAGCAGACGGTGGAGGGGTGGGGGGCAGGGAGGTGACTGTTGGGATGTCGGGGAGGCAGGAGGGACGAAATGGGCTGCAGATTCCCGAGAAGCTCCGCTCCAGCGTGCAGCCACAGGCCACATTTATGCAGTGTCCATGCCAGGAGGGAAGACAGTGAGAGCTCCGAGTCCAGGCTTCCCATGGGAAGGGGGTGCAGGCTGATAGGAGAGGGTGTTTGAAGAACCAGCCGGAAGACTGGGAGCCTCCTGGCAGGGGCACGCAGGGCCACAGAGGGTCTGATAGATGGGAAGGTATGAAAAAGCTTATGATGTTAGGGGCCTGGGGTAAGTGGTGTCTGGAGTCGGGGCTGGAGTGAAGGGTCCAGATCTAACCCTCAGGCAGAGCCCTGACCCACGGGGCCTTGGAGGGTGTCTGTGGAGGGACAAGGCTGGGCCTGGGTCCCACAGTTGGAGGTTCCAGGAATACCTCTGCCGGCCAGGACAATGTCTAACCTCGGTGTCTCTTTGTTGGCCTCTTTTAGGCAAAGCAGAAGTAAAGACACGTGGCTGGATGGTGTTTTTTGGTGCCATTTCTGGAAGCAGGTCTGAGAGCTGGAACCTGGATGCCACTGTGCTGGAACTTCAGTGGCATTTTTGTGGGGCCAGTGGGGAGAGTATTTGAAACCTAGCCCTGCCTGGCCTACATAGCCGTGTGGTGGCCACACTGACAGGCCTCTTAGTTCTCTGCGAGGGAAGCGGGGAGCAGCTTCACATCACAGTTTCCAGCAACGCAGCCCCCCCGCCCCCAACAGGGCAGATGGGATTGGGGAGATGTGATTATTGGCAGGACCAGGGCTTCCTTTGCGCTTTCCCTCCCATTGTGGCCAGCAAGTGGGCAGAAAAGGCAGCGATGGTGAGAGCCGGCATATCTGTCCAGTCTGCACCAATAAGAAAACCACATCTGTTCCTAAGGGTTCGGGCAGATGTGGGAGGGTGATGCTGGGCCTAGGAGCGGGCCAGGAGCAGCAATCGGGCTATGATTTCTGCCAAAGGGAAGAAAACAGCGGTGGCTGGTCCCCTGGAAAGCCTGCTGGGAGGCCTGGGCCTGCTCGTCCTCTGGGTCCCCTTGAAGGACGGACGCCGTCATGTCCTCCCTGGGCCGAGCAGAGCAGGCGTTACCTTGGTGGCCAGCAGCCGGGTCAGGTAGATCTCCGACACCATCTTGCTGCCCCGGTCGCCCTCCTTCTGGTCTCCGTGGTCGTGGTTCTTCACCAGGTGCCACACCTTGACCCCGCTCTCCAGGTCTGGGGTGATCATGGGGGCCCGGGACCGCAGACTGTCGGGGCTGCCTGTGTACCTGAAGGAGGAGTCTGAGGAGAAGGGGGCGGTGGGGGCCTGTGAGCAGCTGATGGCACCATCCTTGCCTGAAGAATCCTTCTAGAACCCCTGCCCGCTTGCCACACCCACTCGGAAGAAACCAGTTTCCATTGGAAGGGGACTCCTGGCTCCTCCTGTGGCGGGGGGTGGGGGGTGGTTAGGGATTCTTGGTTGGCATGAGGACAGCCTGAGAGCTTTGTGTAAAAGAGGATTTAGGAATTCTGGGAGCTGGAGAGACCTGGGGGATTTTGGAGTCCCCCGCCCCTGATGCTTCCAGCCAAGATGATCAATAGGTAAAATGTCAAACAAATATTTCCGTGAGGGCCTGGGGGAACCTGATACTCGGGAGCTGGGAGCTGTGATCCCCCCTCTTTGCAGTTCATGGGGCCAGAATCGGAACGGCCAAGGCCTTTGGAGCCGCCGGCCTCCGTCCTGAGGTGTCCTTCAGCCGGAGAGCCCAAAGCCTCAGTGCACAGGTGGATCCACAGGAAACAGAGTAAGAGCTGCACCGGAACCTCATCCCCAGAGGGCACGGGGGGCCCTAACGCTCCTCAGTGTGGACAGGCTAGGACCGTGAACCGACTGCCCAAACTGGGACCCTTTTGAGAGCAAACGGGGCACTATTCCTTCTCGCACCAGGACAACAGATGTAGACTGGGATATGTGAACCTCCCCCATCCAGGTGCCCCTTGAGCGCCTTCACCAGGCCTGGGCTATCAAAGGAAGGGCACAGGGTGCCACCTGCTCCCACAGCTCTGAGGAGGTGGGCTGCTCAGGGAGCCACTGGACTAGGGAGGGAGGGAAGCTAATGAGCAAAGGCCTCTGACTGGAGGCAGCAGCAGCCGGGGCTTCCCGCCGTCAGAAGGGACAGCGAGTGGCCCCTGGAGGGTCATAGGGGACTGGGCCTCACCATATCTGCTGATGGACGTCCGGGAGATGCTGGCAGAGGCGGGGATGTTGTAGGAGGAAGTCTGTTTGGGAACCAGAGCCACCACCGATCTGTCGGACACCTAGAAGGGTAGGAAAGGTACAGTGCGGGTGACTGTCGGCATCTTGCGAGACTGAGTAGACAAGCACTTCTACACGGTTATGGAGAAGATGTGGAGCAGAGTGCCAGCAGGTCAGGAGTCCCAGAAGTAGCAGATTCCTGCCATTCAACATGGCAGCACTCCCACCTGTGGCTATGAGCCCTGGGAGTTCGGTTAGTTCAAACCAAGATGTGCTGTAGGTGCCTGAACTGAAATGTGCTACAAATGAATGTTCAGGCCCTGGCTGGTGTGGCTAAGTGGTTAGAGTGTTGGCCCATACACCGAAGGGTTGCAGGTCCGCTCCCTGCTCCGGATCAGGGCACATGCAGGAGGCAATTAGCCGATGTGTCTCTCTCACATTGATGTTTCTCTCTCTCCCTGCCTCCCTTCCACTCTCTCTCAAAAGCAATGGAAAAAATATCCTCAGGTTAGGATTATAAATAAATAAACAAGTGTTCGGTATACACTGGGTTTCAATGACTTAGCATGAATAAAAAAATACAAAACTATCTCATTGATAATTTTTATATTTATTGCATGCTGAAATGGTAATTATTTCAGATCAGTGAAATAGATGTATTGTTGACACTAATTTCATCAGTGTATTTTTAGTAAAAATGTAAATGTGGCTTGCATCGTATTTCTATTGGGCAGTGCTGGGCTAGAACCGGCCCCCTTCAACCTTGTGAGTTACGGACAATGATGCCCATTTTTCAGAAGAGGGAATCGAAGCAGCAAGGGGATAAGCAACATCCTACAAGGTCACACCCTGAGCACCTGGAGAGACACTGTCCACAGCCAGGTCTGCCAGCCCGGGAGCACCGGTTCTCCTCATTACACCGTCGCTGGGATTTTATTTCCAGTCACACTGGTCTGAAGTCCATTTTCCTTTCTGGCTCGGATTTCTTTCTGGCCCGGGTCCTACAACGCCCGGGCCACCTTGAAGAGTTCCTCACACAGAATGGCTGCTCTTAGCGACTCAGAGAAAAAGACGCTGTCTTGGCCAGTTCTCTGCGAGGGTGCCCAGCGCAGCACCCAGCCTGGAGGGCAAGGGCTGATAAATGAGGAGCCATATTGAAGACATTTGGGGCCATTGTGATTTAAGATTACCCTCCATCCAATAAAAACGGAGAATCCCCAGAATTGTGATGATCCAATTAAACCCCTAACGCAGAGGGAATAAAATAGCTATAATAATGTTATGGGCCATAAAACATTCCTATTAAACCATTTTTTATTTTAACAATTTTTATGAACTTTATAAGTTTGATTTATAGCTGCACGAGTCATAAAACCATCTTTCTGGGTCTTAAATTGTCAGTCCTTCTCTCCCACCAAAAAAGAATTAGATGTTGGGAAGTCGAACTATAAATGAACATTAGCGCTAACGAGATTCCCTGATAGCTGGTTTCAGTGGTGGTGTTTAATTTTACCCTCCCCATAAATCTGCAGGAGCCCAGGAAGATGTTAACACCTCTCTGTTAATTAAGATTATGCAGATTTTGTGCACTGGGAGCTCTAAGGACCTTTGACTCTGGGGAGGGTAACTAGAGGGCAATCTTTGACCTGATGGCCTAAAGCTGCAGGGTCCTGCCTGGGCACAGGCCCGAGAAGTGCCAAGCTCCCTGATGCCCAGCCGAGCCGCCCTCAGGACCTCCAGCAGTTTGCAGCATCAGCACCAGGTCTGGAACCAGGGGGAAGTCTGCACTCTTTCTTTCAGGATCTCTCCTTGCCCCTGACAGCCTAGAAATGATACTTTGAAAGCCTGGGGGCAGGAGGTTACACCCCCAGAAAGGACAGATTATCGTTTACCGCTTGTTGTCACCTAAAGGAAGAGTCACAGATGCCCCCGAATGGGCACAGTTTGACTCAATTCCAGGTCTCGTCACCAAATCTCTCGTCCTCGGTCTTTCTCTTGGCCAACAGTCAGTGCAAGTCCATGGTCAGGATGCCCGGCTGGGTCTGACCTTGGCTCTGCCACTTCCTGGCTACATTATTCCAGGAAAGCCACTTCACCGCTCTGTGCCTCAGTGGTCTCTTTTGTCCAAGGGGATAATCATCTTGTCTAGGTTTGTTGTGCAGATTAAAGGCTGCGGGCTGAGCCTGGTGCCGCGCGAGCACTCGGTGAGAGTTGGCGTTAGTGCTGTTATTATGAGCAGCGGCATCATCTCCGGCCCCCAAAGGGAGGAATAATCCCTGTGGTCCCCTGTCACTCAGGGCTGCCATGTGGGAAGGGCTGCGCATTCAGTAAAGCTCAGTAAATATTTGAGGAATGAATGAATACATGAATGATAAATGGCATCAGGGAATTGGATGTGCTTTGTGTGACGAGCACTGTAAGAACAGAATATTCCATTCTTCTGATTGAGGGCCATCGGACGGACAGCCCAGTCACAGTGTTAGGGCATCACGGGCAGAGAAGAGAAGCCTCACTCCTGCCCTGGGGACACTCATATCTCGGGGGCAGGATGCTTACTCTGGCACTTTCTTCTCCAGCTCAAATTGGTTCATTACAGATGTTCTGCAGAATACATTAAGCACCGTGAAGCCGGGGTGGGTGGGACCAACACGAATGTTTGTGGCTCCGTGGATGTGAGTATGCATCCTGGGCACCTCACCTGTTGTTTCTAATCCTTCCAACCGCCTTCACAAGTCACGCTGTTATTTCCATCATACAGATGAGAAGCCCGAGTTTTGGTGAGATTAAAGTCACACCACCGGTGAGTGGGGAAGCAGGGATTTCAATAAATACAGGTCGCAAAGCCCTTTCTCCCTCACAGCACACTCCTCCTATCTGGGGCAGGGATGCAAGCCCATAGGGGGGATGCAGCTTGGAGAGGAGCGGCTCAGGGGTTCCCCAGTGCCCCTGGAGGCACCCAGTCAGCTCCTGTGGCTGTGAAGGTCCCCGATCTCCTGGTCACTGGCAACTTGGTGCCTCAGAGCCGAGCCTGCCAGCCCCCAGCACCCTCCCGTGTGAGGCGCGGGCATAGGAGGATGTTATTAGTCAGGCAGTCCCAGCGGGCCTTGCAGCCTCAGGCACTTCCTCTGGTTGGTTTAATTTCCCTTGGTGTCTCTCATTTTCAGCTTCTATTTTATAATTTTCTCTGAATCCCCACCTGCCTACCTGTGCTTACTCTTACAGGGGCCCGAGCCCGGAGTGGTTACCATGGGAGGGGAAGGAGGAGGGGATACCTCCTGCATCTTTTCTTCTTTTGCTGGGATTTTTTTTAAAATTATACTTTCGTTCTTTAAAATGGTTTTTTGTTCTTTTTTTTGTCGTTGTTGTTAATCCTCACGCGAAGATATTTTTCCATTGATTTTTCAGAGAGAGTGGAAGGGAGGAGTAGAGACAGAGAGAGAGAAACATCAATGTGAAAGACACATCAGTTGCTTGCCTCTCGCACTTGCCCTGACCAGGACCAGGGATCGAGCCTGCAACCAGGATCACCCAGTCCTACCTTCTCTAGGGACCTTGACTAGAATCGAACCCTGGACCCTTCAGTCCACAAGCTAACGCTCTTTCCATTGAACCAAACTGGCGAGGGCTGGGATTTGGGGATTTTTTTAAATTATTGTTCATTCAACAGGCAGTTGAGTTCTGCCAGTGTGCTAAACACTTTACCTGCTGCATTTAACCTATTCCACAGGACTTTAAGGGGCAGGGATCACCATTAACCCTATTTTACAGATAAGGAGGACGAGAGCTTCAGTCATTTCCCCAAGGACATCATCGAGCAAGTGGCAGAATGTAAGACCTGAAGTCAAGTCTATCCCAGTGGTCAGCAAACTGTGGCTCTCGAGCCACATGCGGCTCTTTGGCCCCTTGAGTGTGGCCACGAAGTTTCAATTGCACTGTACATGCGCGCCTGCACGTGGTATTTTGTGGAAGAGCCACACACTCAAGGGGCCACAGTTTGCCGACCCCTGGTCTATCCAATTTCCTGCTTTGCTGCACAAGAAGTCAAGTCTATCCCAGTGGTCAGCAAACTGTGGCTCTCGAGCCACATGCGGCTCTTTGGCCCCTTGAGTGTGGCCACGAAGTTTCAATTGCACTGTACATGCGCGCCTGCACGTGGTATTTTGTGGAAGAGCCACACACTCAAGGGGCCACAGTTTGCCGACCACTGGTCTATCCAATTTCCTGCTTTGCTGCACGCGAGAAGCGTAAACTGCCTTAGGCACCTACAGTGGTTACCTTCAAGGCGGACTTTACAACATGCAATTTCCCTGCAGAGGCAGGGCCTCCAGGATAACAATGCCTGGCTTCACCCCAGGCCAGTCAGCCAGTTTCGCTGGTGGGCCTGGTGCTCATGTGTTTGATAAGTTCCCCCAGTAATTCTAATGGGCAGCCGTGGCTGAGAGTCACGGCTCTAGGATCCGGGAGAAGGGGAAAAGGAAAGATCAGAAAACTCCTTTTAGGCTTTTCAGGGCCGAGGAGCCAACCTTGGAGGGGAGGGGACATTTGGGACAAAGGTCCTGAAGCAAAGCCGTCTCCCACACCGAGAGGCCCCCCCTCACCTGGTAATGCATCAGGGTGTTGAGCCGCTTCCAGTCGCCCTCGATCTTGGTGGTGATGTCCTCGTCTTGCAGCACGACCCTGGCGATCCGGCCTTGACGCCACTCTGGGTGGAGGGGTGGTGCAGGTCACTGTGAGGGGGTGGGGGCTGCCAGCCAGGGTCACCCAGTCCTACCTTCTCTAGGGACCTGCAGCCCCAGCTCCCTCGAGCTGGTGCAATGGTAGCACCTAAGGCATCTAGGCCTCCATGGGGTCCAGACAGCTGGGCAGACGTGTGGGCCTCACCAAAGACGGCCCCATCTGAGCAGTAGTCAGGCTGCCCCTCACTGGGCAGGACCCAGTCACGCCACAGCCCAAATGCCCTCCTTGGAAGCCACCCCTCCCTCCCCACACTCCAAGCCAGGCCTCCTACCCAAGTCCATGTCCACGGCCCGCGGCCGCTGGGAGTAGGGCACGTTCTTGTAGATGGCATCGAGGATCTTCTCCTTGACCTGCGTGATGGTGTCACAGTTCAACACCTTCACTGGGATCTCCGGACTGTTCTCGTTGTCGGGGTTGACACAGTTCAGGATCTGCAAGGGGCCAGAGAGGGGGAGCTGGAGGGAGTTGAGGGAGGAGACGAGGTAACTCTGTCCAAGGCCCCCTCCCTTCCTGGGCACGTAGGGTGCCTCTCTGTCCGTGCTTCACTTTTGTTCACCTCCCTGCCATCTGCCAACAACAACCTGAGCCATTCTGTCCGCCTGTCCTTTCTCAGAGAACCGGGACTCGGCTTCCTAGCTCCTGGATGGCTGGGAGTGGCTGTGACCCTGGACCCAGGCGTCCTGGCTTCTGAGATGGCCCCTTCCCCGAAGCTTCTCTATTAGGAATCCACAGACTCACGCTCTTTCCCATGATGCCAATTTCCTCATACCTAAGGGTGGGTGATATGTTTTCTCCACCCTATATTGTCTAGGGTAAACTGAGGCACCCAGAGCACTTTGGGCCCACCAACTGAGATGGTGAGAAGGCACCCAGGTGGTCTGCCTGCCCTTGGTGCACTTGGACTTGCTCCCAGGCCAGTCAGTCTCCGGGCCTCTTTATCGACCCCCTCAGCCTGGCTGTGTGGCCAGAGGGTGAGGTAGAGATCAGGGCAGAAGGTTGGCGCTGTCCCCCGAGCTCCAGGCCTCCTCACCAGGGTCTTGTACTCGATCTGCTGGCGGATGAGCTTGTCCTCGCTCAGGGAGTAGCGGGCCTCGCCCGTGATGGCGTCGATGGGGCCCTTCTCCATCTGCTGCTTGATGGCGCAGTAGAGCATGAAGAGCGGCTCGGCTGCGCACTCCTGCGGGCACAGGCGGGGCGGGCGTGTGGCAGCACCAGCCTCCTCCCTCCTCTCCTGACTACCCGCCCAGGTGGGGCCCTGCTCCTGGGCAGTCCCCATGCAGCCCCGGGGGCAGGCCCAGAGGAGCGGCCCCCCACCTCGCTCTCAACTGCGGCTCCCGTCTCACTCCTGCTCACCTTCAGGAACTTGTGCAGGAGGAAGGCAAACCAGTTGGTCAGCATCTTCTCAGCCACGGACTCTGTCCTGGGGAGGGAGAAGGGACAGGGACAGACCTTTAGGAGGGGTCTCAGGGCAGGGCCTGGTTTGCTGGGGGCACGGAAGGACACAGGGCTGAGGGCCAGGACACCTGGGTCCTAGCAAACTCAGCCAGTAACCACAGTGGGACCTTGGGCCAGAGAGAAATTTCTTCTTTCCTGGCCTCAATTCCCCGTGATGAAGGAGTGGTGCTGCTGTCTGCAGATAAAGGTGCCCAGTCCCCCATCCCCTAGAACTACAAAGAACCAGTTCTCCCTCCTCCCTCCTGTCCCTCTGGGATTGCTTGCATGCCGGAATACTGTACTCCAGTTCACACGTCCAGAAGGTACCTGGTACCTGCCCTCCAACACTCAGAGTCAGACTGCCTGGGTTCAAATCCTGGCTCTGCCATATACTGGCCGTGTGACCTTGGGCCAGTGAGCTCACCTCTCTGAGTTCCTTTTCCCCATCTCTAAATCATCATCATCATCTAGCCCACAGGATCGCTGTCAGGGTTGAGTGAGTTAATAGATATAAAGTGCTAAGAATACCACCTGGCATCCTGCCAGGTGGGGTCACTGGGGTCAGGTGGGATCTTGGATCCCAGCCCCTCCGGTAGAGAGCAGTGTGTGTGTTTCACTGCGGGGGGGGGGGGGGGACCTGCTTCTGCCAGCACCACCCGTCCTCGCCCCCATCCTGGGCTGCAGGTCTGGGGACTTGGGAAGGAACAAAGCAGCTGTGACAGGTCCTCAGCGATGGGGACGTGAAGGGGCATTTTAACTCCCCGCACGTGATGCAAATTATACCCTCTGGTTGCAGAAAATCCCAGGCATTTGCCAGGGCTGCTCAGCGATCAGGGCCTGGGAGGGAGTGCCGATGCGGGAGAAATTGCAGCTCTCTCCCGGGCCCCTCTCAGCACCCTCTCCTGCATTGTGCCTGAGATTAGCTCTAATTTAAATACAACGGGTTCTTAGTGAGAGTTGCTAATGCTCAGATTGGCAGGATAGAGGCTCAGTCGTCAAATAACAAAGCCATTCTTTCTCCCTTCTCACCCCACGTGGGGCCTGGAAGCCTGCGCCCTTGCTCGGAGGCTAAAGGGAAGGCGGCGACATAGGCGTGGTGCATTCCAAAGCTGTGCTCTGCTTCCCAGAGCTCCAGAGGGTGAGCTCTAGGGATGGGCCCCAAGGTCTCCAGCCCTCTCCTCTGCCAGGAGAATGGCAACTGGGCAGGGGGCATGTGGTGGATGCTGGTGATTCAGGTCCAAGACGCTGGGCCCGGGAGTCACCAGCCACACCAAGTCTCTATCTAGCCTGCTGCTGTCCAGTAGGGCCTTCTGCTGGGTGCAAATGCTCTCCTTTGGCCGGGATGTGGTGACACTGGTGGAAGGTGGCTAGTGTGATGGAGGGGCTGAATGACACGTTTTGTTTCGTTGTAATGGATGGTCACATGTGGCTACCATGTTGGACAGCACCGCTCTGGACACGCAGGGAGGGACAGAGATGGTGAAACAGGTGCTCTCAGTGTCGTTTTATCCCGAGGAAACTAAACGGCAGAGGCCATGTCACCGGCCCACGTGTACACAGCCAGTCGTGGTGGAGCTGGAGTTCAAGCCCAGATCCAAGCCAAGGCCTGTGCTTCTCCACCAAGTTTAGCAGCTGCAGACACCCCGCGGTGCCCGGGAGATGGATTCTGTTCTGTGGGATGTGCGGACCCAGGCCCTTCTGGGAGGAACCCTCTGGTACCATCTACGGGACCTGCTCTCACGGGCGGTGTCCCTGGTCATACCCGCCGCCCTCCGGGCCTGGCCTCAGCTCACCTCCGGAGCAGCAGCTTGGGGTGGTTCTTGTTCTCCAGGTTCTTGTCGATGAGGTCGGAGAGCAGCTGCTTGAGCACGTCGGTGGCGTACTCCAGGCGGCCCTGCAGGCCGGTCATGATGAGCGAGGCCACGTTGCCGCGGTCCGCATGGAGATGAAAGCAGGTGAGTGGCCAAGCAAAGACCAAAACAGGAAGCTTTGATGCCCCTTTTGAGACCTTGTTGTTGATGAGCTGGGCGAAGAGCTTCAGCGCCTTCTCCACATGCTGCTGCCCATTGCCCTGCACCTGGGGCGGGCGGGGGGTGGAGGGCACACCCTCAAGGGACAGCTCCTGGCCTCCTGGCCCCGCTCTCCCTGAGGGTCTTCCTCCCACCCAAGAGGATGTAGGCATGGCCGGGCTCTGAAGGCCACAGTCTGCTCTGACCTTCTCCTGGGTTGGGCTCCAGGTGGGGCCCTGGGTGCAGATGCCATCCACCTGATCCTCCCAAGGATATGATAGGAGACACCCCGCAAAACCCGCCCCGTTTACTAGTCTCCCCTTCATCTCTGTCCTGATTTATCATCTTCAATAAGACAAACCAACCACAAACTTCA